TTGCTCACAACCTTTTTTTCTTGAAGGTCTTTCAAGATGCTCTCCGCGCCAATGTCAGTGCTATTCCCTTATGTCCTTGATTCGTTACTTCAAGTTGACTTTGAATTATTGAGCTCCATGGCAAAGCTCATCTGTGTAACTTTAATAAATGAACACCCTCGAGATCCAACCTGAAATAACTGCTTAGTTAATTTGTCCTGTAATAAAGATATTTCGCTCATGACTATAAGCTGCCAGGGGTTTTTTAGACTAATCACTGGGGTGCATTTAATGGTGTAGGAACTGAAATTCTAGCATTGGCACTGCTGCGCCATAAGGTATTATTACAGTGCAGAAACTGGGATGTTAAGTTGGTTAAGATGAAGCTCAAATTACAGTTTGACTGTCTTTTAGTGGGAAAAAAATAATTATTGTGGTTAATTAACTAAGAACAATGCATAATAATACATGCATGAGTGTTCAGGGCTAAAAGGCATATTTCAACCAGAAAACACACAGTGCGGCGCAGCTGTTTAAACTATACGGCGAGTCATAATAGCCTTGAGCATTTGCTTTATGCTTTCTGATTTAAACAAATATGGTGAGGAAATAAAAAAAACAACAACCACTAAGAATAGCCTCGAAGTCAAGAGGATGTGTGTTTTGCCATTGACAGATTGCTGGGGTTTGAAATTACACTGGAAGGCCAGAGTTGCAAGCTGTAGAGATCCAGAGCAGGTCGCTGGTAGAGAGGAAGTCAGTGAAACAGGATATGTGGTGGTCAGCTCTTTCCTGACCTAAAGGTCAAAAATCTCAATTGAGCATCCTTTTTATAGGGTTAGATATCCTTGAATCCATATAATGTGTCCTCTATATCTAATAGTTATGTTGTTGGCTCTATATAATTCATCTAGAGCAATATCTATGCCGTTTTAACATCTAGGGATGATTCATGGTTCCCAGATGAGTTTTCTAATCTGCTATTAGATGGATCGCCATGACATACAAACATTCATGAATTGTAATCACTTTGTAATCAGATCATTATCAACAAATACCTGCAAAACTATATAACTCTTCCATTAGCTTGTCTTTTTATTGATAATTAGTTCATCTTAGCATGCCAACACCCTCAACTAGCTAGCAGTTGTATACTCTTAGTCTTGTTTGAAAGGTACAGTGTGTAAGATTAGGTGGCATCTAGCGGTGTAGTTGTAGAAACTACGGTTGCTGTAAAAGGTGCACAAAATGCCCCAATCTAGAGCCAGTGTTTGGGTTGTCCCTTCTGGGCTATAGTAGAAACATGGTGGGCTCCATGGAAGCCGACCGTAGTAGATTCCTATATTCAGGTGATTATACACTAATGACAAAATCCTTATAAATATTATATTCCATTTTTTTGGAAAATTGAAACTGTGGGCAAGTGAAGAGCAAGCTATCATTGTACCGTCACAACATTTTACTGCACATTGTCAAATTCTTTTTAAACCAAATAAAGTGTGTTTAGGCACAAGATAACATTACTCTCAAAACTGTGTTAATTGCACATTCCTGTTTATGCTCGTTATAATCCACTGAATTTAACAGCTGTCTAATATGAAGAGATCACTTTGTCACAAGCAGCACATTTGTCCCCAGCCTTGATGGCAACCTAGCGCTGCTTTGTAAGTGAACACAGTGAGATGAGTGTGCAGGGCCAGTTTGTAGCATCAACACCAACAGCAGAAGGAGAGCAAAGCAGTGTCAGGGTGTGTCTGCGGCGGGACGTGTCCAGGCTTCAGCGGACCTGACAGGCTGTGGCTCATTAAACCCCCATCAGACGCGGGAGGTCAAGACAACAGCTACAGCCCGGGCGACACACTCTGCTTGCATGCGTATAATGTAGACACACAATGCGACCTCGTAGGCCCAACAGGATAGGATAATACCCCAGACCCATCAGTTGTTTTATTTTTAGCATTTTAATCATTGCAGCCAACTGCTGAGAAATTCTGAGAAATCTTTAGATAAAGCATGAAGAGACTAACGGCTTATAGAATTATTATTCAGAATTGATGCACATGGGACTATATTGTGTATGATTAGATCGGAGAAGTTTATGCTTTTGTTTTTATGCTCTTCTCACGACACACTTAATGCAACTTGCATTACTGTGTTTTCCGTGTGGGTGGATGGCTGGCTGGCTTTGGGGAAGCAGGTCGAGAATATTGCTGCAGAAGGTTTCACAGTGGGATAGAGAGAGAAGGACTGGGGGCACTATTTGGCAAGGATGAAGCGATAAGCATAATTTCAGGTCGAAACATGCAGGCGTAAACAGCACTTCTTGCTTGATCGTGTCAAATGTGCTACAACAACAGTGACAGCCATTGGCATTGAACCAAGGCTGAAATGCAAGTTGTGTGTTTTTGGGTTCTTGATGTCGGGGCAACCAGCTCAACCGTTTTCCAAACTCTGACTCATGTCGCCCGAGCTGAAGTCCTGTAAGGTCAAACAAGTGAGTCCTGCGCCAACCTCAGGCTGTGTGACGCCTCTCGATCTCTATCTGACCTCTATAGTTCCCCTTTTTCTCTCTTCTCTCAGTGTGAGACATATTTTAGTGACACGTTTCATTCTAAGCCTATTTCTGCTTTTTATCTTCTAATCTCACTTATCCCTTCCTTGCTCTTCCTCATTTGTCTGCCTCTGTGTATAAAAACCACACCAGGGACCCCCTCTTTTGGCCGAGCCAGTAAGAGGGAGGACGGAAGAAAAGGATCTCTGTCGGATGTGCCTGTCGAATGATCAGTCAAGTGGAAAGGATTAGTTATATCCTGTCCTTCTCTCACTCTTTAAAGCAGTCTCATTAGGCCTGCTGGACCAAAGGACCCCGGGTGCCCCTGCTAAGGCTGGGCTTGGTGTTGCATTCAGGGAAGCCCTGGGCGTGTTATCCCCACCCAGCTGAGGGTGATCATAGTCACACAGTCACTTAAGAGGATTGGATCTTGGTGAAGTGATGTGTAATTGATAATCTCCTGACCACAAATGGTAGATCAGTGTTGTCCATTAAGAATATTGTTTGTTTCTAGAAATTTGTATTAGTATTCCAAAGTGAGTTTAAAGATCCCCTACAGACTTGTTTACAACATTTATACAAACAGTCTGTTTGGAACAATAATGTATGTCTGATATGTTTTTTTCCAGAAAAAAAAGGAATTTCCACATGAGAATCCTTCCTTCCTCCCTCTACCTCATTAAAAATCCCAGAATCTATGAACATGCTAATTTCGTTTACTTCTAAAGTTTTCCTGCTGGACCTATTTCACTCTAAAGTCCATTTTCAGTGTACGTGCACTGGCATCTACTAGCTTCCTCTGGAGCTTACTATTACTATGTGATATGTTTTGTTTAATTAATATGTATTATCAAAGGGTAAAAATTTTAATCAAATTGTTTTTTTGGGACGATACTGATATCAACATTGAGAATTAAAGCAATTCCTACGACAATATATTGGTCGATAGTAATTTATTGTACGTAAACAAAGCATCTTGATACAGATCCCTTAAAATCAACTCATCAGTTCTCGACATGTGTAACTATGTAATAGTGACACACTATCTCTAAATGACCTCAAACCTAGTTTGGCATTTCTTCACTGCAATTGCTTGTTATCTGTCCGTCAACACTCAATATAACGATATACGTGCAATGAGCTTGTATTGGCTGATAGATCAGACGGGCCAATTGATGGATCTAGCTTCCTTGACATAAGCCCCTGTAAAACGATTACGATATACAATGTGTTGATTGTGGGCTTTACAGATGCTGATAGGCAGACAGAACCAGGCTATATGTTAAGTTAACAGTCTCCTAGCTCCAGCTTCATATTAGAGACATGAGAGTGGTATCCATCTTCTCATCAAACTCACGGCAAGAAAAGGAATACACACCTTTCCCAAAATGTCAAACTATTCCTTTAATACAAAGCTTTCTCTGTTATATAATCTACATGTCATGTTTATCTTATAGATTCTGTTACCCAACCTGCCTTGTGTGTCTCTGTTGTCCCGTGTGTCAAGGTGACAGTGCTGCTCTGATAATGTCAGAGGAACATTGTCCGCTCTCTCCGGACATCACAGCTGTCAAGTCAGTGTCTACTCAAACAAATCTTCACCATGTCGGCTACATCCTCAGCCCACACACACACACACACACACACACACACACACACACACACACACACACACACACACACACACACACACACACACACACAGCTGCTCCCCAGGAAACACGTTGCAACAAAACACATTATTTTCAATACAGCTTTGCCATAACACTTGTCACCTTAGCTTCATTAGTACACGAAATATGCCACTATATATTGTGACTGAGCAGACAATAAGAGAATCTGTTCTAGAGAATACAGTATGCAAACAAAAAGGATAATTAGTCATTGTTTTGAAAAATCTATAGAGATCTATATTTGTGTGAAAGCATCATGCATCACTGTAGATACAGCAACGATTCCACAGTGTTCGACTGCAACTGCTGGTTCTTACCGTGCCTGTCAACACGTGTGTGCATTCAACGACCCGTACCTTCATCAAGCTCAAACTAGATTTTCCCATGCGACTGAAGATGTGTTGGAATGTGCACTGACTCCTATGTTGTGTGTTTACATGAAAACATAACGTCAGCCTGCAGCAAGCACAGGAACATGAGGAAATGTCTCTCTGTCTATTTTGGTGGGACAGTTCCCATGTTGTTTTATTCCTGACTTTCAGGCTGCCATACTCTCAGAGAAAATATCCTAACCTATGAAGCTGGAATTATTCATGACTTTTACGCATTCTGATGTGAAACACTGCAACTCCCTAGACCTCAGACATTGACAACTGACAAAGGTTAAATAACAAAACAACCTCCTGCCTGAAGTCACAGGATCTTTCCCTGGCTTGTTATGTAATTGACACTTTCTTTTCCCACTTTCTCCCACACCTTCTGCTCACCCTCCAAAACCTGTTTTGTCTCCTCTCCAGCTCGTTTGCCATGTCTAAGACAGCGGTGAAGAAGCAGCACTGGCGTTCCAAGGTGCAGGACAGTTTCGTCCCCTTGCTAGGCTCGTCGGGGGAGCTGGGGATCGCCATCGGTGGAGGAGCAGACTATGGAGAGTTTCCCTTCGTCACCTCTGCTCCAGGGGGCGGACTCACAGTGGGCGATATCATCCTAGAGATTGGGGGAACACCAGTATTAGGGATGACATTAGGAGATGTCCGTGGTGTCCTCAACTCCTGCCCCCATCCTATCCGCATCAAAACTGTGTCACCAGGTATGAGTCGGTACAACAACTCACCCCTCTATTAATTAGTCTTTAATTCTCTCCCTAACACTGCCAACAATTTAACTTGTTGCTGCTTGCGTTGCACACCATTGCACTTACTTTATCAGACAACACCCGAACAATCTGGCGTTCCAAGCTGTCATCCATAATAATCTTGCTCAATAAGCCTCCCCTGACTCTCACCAGCCAAATCTGCACCCTGTAGCATTCTGACGCTGATTTGCACTTGTCAATTAGTCTGGATATGTCAAGGCGATCGGTCAATATGTGGGTATGAGGTCAAAATTGCTGATGACACATGACAAGAGCGTGCCGATATAGTTGTCTCTCACACGCAAGGGGCCTTGATGTTTAGAAGAGGGGGCTGGGGTAACGGATGTCTTTGTTGGCTCTGAACAGAACAATATGTCACTGGAGTGTCACCTGACTGCGGTTCCCGATGGCCTTGCTCACTAGATTGATAGCTGATTTGGCCACAGGGGTGTAAATGGGGACCTTTGCTCCCAGTCCCTCTGCTGCTGGTAGATCCATTATCATTTCTGAAGTCTGCCTGGCTCTCCCTGGGCAGCTTGACTGCGTGTAGTGTGGACAGTGATGGATGAGCTGATGCGACGGGTTGCTGTACCACACCTCCTCCTACTATTACTACTACGACAACTCCCTCTGCTCCAGCCCTCAAATACAGGACACCAGGCTATATTCCTCAGAGGCAGGCTGCAGTTTAAAGGCTTTAGCACTAATACTGGTGCTCTGTGGGCAAAAGCAAAGAGTAGTGATAGGATCTGTCCATCTAATGGTATGTGACAGCATAGCCTGAGTATAGCAGCTCTTCTTTGTATTACTGTTAACCTCAGCATCGCGCCTATATGCTTGCCCCACAAGAGATCAACTCATTCAGTTTCAGAGAGCTGATTTTAAATCTTTCTCTTCAACAGACTAGAAAATAGCAGCTGTTTCATAACATGATGAACAAAAGCCCATTATTTATCCCAAAAGGCAGCTGGCTAGATTCATCTCTCTTTACAGGCAGCACCCATATGTGGCCGTATGTACGTGCAGTTGACTGCCTCCACTGATAAAGTTATACCACTGTGACATTTTTTAATAGCACACAGCAAATTCGGTCTGCTACTGGGCGGAACCACTGTGACAGACAGTGGAGGCGATGGAAGGGCGGATTGCTAGGCGGCAGCCTGCAGGGGAAGCACCGGCAGAGTGGTCGTCTGTCAGAGTGACAAGCTGGAGACGCTCTCAGCCTATCCATAACAGCAAGCGACCTGTCATCAGAGGCCGTAAAGCACTTGAGATGATATTAAGAGATCAGGGTGAGGAAACTGAGCCCCGATAGTCAACTGTGCCTCCCTAGGTGACAAATCTCAACTGTTGTGTCTGGAGCAATTAACCTCAGTAGATTGTTATATATGCATGAGGGACTCGGGGAAAATATATTTTATACTGAGGATCTATGTGAAGTGATGTAGAGAGATCAGTAGGTGTGAATGTGGAAGTCTAGGTTGTAAAATGATAGTGTTTAATCAAGCCCAGCAGCAGTAAAGATTATTTGATGGATTACAAACAAATTTTAGACGATACATCATCAGTGTTTGTGCTTACTCAGCTGATTTCTTAATGCCTCTCTCTCTCTCTCTCTCTCTCTCTCTCTCTCTCTCTCTCTCTCTCTCTCTGCTTCTTCCTCTCACTGCCATACGTGTATCTTTGCCCTTCCCTCAGGCTCCACATTGTGCAAGGATCTCAGGTTGTATCTGAGTAAGTGCTTCACACCCGGCTCAGTGGACAGCCAACTTCAGCAGGTCATTCGAGAGAATCTCTACCTCCGTGCTGTACCTTGTAAGTCCCATTTTGTGCTTCTCTTCTTACCTTCAATATACTGTTTCTCTCGATATGCTTTGTCTCTATATTTCTTGCCTCATTATGTCCTTTTCCTGTGCTGTCTTTTTCCTGTTGCTGTCATTTTCCCATGTTATAGGTTTTATGTTTAAATATGTAATATGTTATTTCTGCCGCTAGGGGGTCTAACACATCAAAACAAAGCGTCATAAGTCATAAGTCATAAGCGGCATCATAGGAGTTTTTGTCTTCACCACCATTGCCGTCAGCTTCTCCTGGTTAAGATTCCTTCAGTGTTCATTGTTCAGGGGGTTTTTATTTGGGAGCCGAATTATCTGTAGAGGTCTCCTCCTCTCCAAAACAAACAGTGGTAAAAACACTGAATAAAGCAGTTTTACCTTAAAAATGTGTCTTTCCCAGAGGCGCTGCCAGACAAGCTGCTGCCTAACTTGTTTCCCTGATAACTAAAATAAATACCAGACGTCTGATGACTAAAATCCTTCATCCGGTTAAAATATAGAGCAAAGAAAAAAAAAAAGACCAAGATCTAAAAGTTGTGTCATAACAATGTGGCCTTAAACAGAATAAAAAGTCAATACCTCTCTTAAGTTAATTAATTCTTTGATAACACACCTCATGGTTGCTGCCATGTCAATATCTTGGTGTTAATTGGTGTTTAAGCCTGGAGAACTGTTTCCCACACTTCCCTGTGTCAATGTATGCAAGCAGAAGTGGGGTTATTTAATGAAATAATTAAAAACTATGAGAATGTGAGACAGAAAATGCCACAAGTCCAATCAGTTTGGAGATTTCCATAGCAACAGTCTGTATTGTCACAACACTGGGTTTATCCTCAGTGGCAGTCTCTCCCTTCCAATCCTCACCCCTGTGCTCCGGGGGCATTACTTTGTTTGGGTGGTGGTAAGATGGTATTAAATGTGATGGTAGTTGTGTGTGACAGGTTCTTTTTATCAGTGCAGTTTTGGCATGATCCCCTGAAAAAAGAGGCCTGTAGTCTACACAAGCAGTTTCATTTTGATGCTTATGAATAAGCACAATGGCAGTCAAAGGCAGCTAGTTGTAGTACATCTGTTGCTATCTTAATCCTCTATAATATGACGTCACTGGAAATGGCAAGAGGATATAGCAGCCGTGCAGTGTTCTCTGAGTAAGATCTGTGTTTTTGATGTCATTTTCTGACTTGTGTTGGTCTACTGTGCTTTAATCTTGTTCGGATAGTAGTATGGGGGGGAGACAGGCCACCTAGTGTGTCCGTAGTCTTAACCTTGCCGTGGCAGTGTGGAGTTGCTGCTAATCTCTCCTTTAGTCCAGGAAGTAGGTCATGTGAGACAGTCTGCCACTCGCTGACAGAACAAGGCACAGGTCAAAACTCCCAGGATGGTGCAAGAAAGATAAAACTGTCTCTCTTAGCATATAACATGCACATTCATATTATAGTATAATTGCAGTTTTATTCATATCAGGCTTTCTCATTACTTAGCCATGCATGCGTGCATCCTGTTACATCTACAAGCAGCTGTTCAGGGAGTGAATTGTCCAAATGAACAGTAGTGCTTTTAGTCATTTGAGAAAATGGATAAAGAGAATGGGATGGATAAAGGATGATTGGCATATACAAAATTAGAAAAACAGTAATTTGATGTTTGGTCAGGAAAAACAGACTGTGTAGACATTGTTCTAAAGACACTCTATACACTATTATAATATATTACATAACGCAGTCCAGCCTTCCCCTGTCAGTGGTGTCCAACTTTTGGAAACAACTTCTCATCTCTGAGTGCTTTCTTTTAGTAAGAGTGACAACAAGGCAGGCTCAGCCCCTGGGTGTGTAATCCGCTGATCTGGAGATGACACAGTAAGATGCTGTTGTTCTCATGTAGATAGCAACACATGCATGCTGTCCTGATCCCGAGAAGGGCTTGGAAACCATCACGTCTCTTTTCAGACCACTTGTAGATATCTAGAAGCAGAATTTTCTTCCTTTTTGTTGTTTTTCCATCGAGGAGGCAGCTGTGTTTGATGTAACAGGAACTTAAAGCTGAGGAGTTTTCATCAGTGGCTCATTGTGGCCCCCTTCAGGACCATATGTATGTTCTTCCTGTTTCAGGAGACTCTTTGTTATAGTTTGTTATTTTGTTGATAATTAAATCTCTGAATTGCCTAAGATAAAGATTAATTAGTCTCAGAGGCTCATGAAGCATAACTCAAGTTTTTAAATCTTTTTTTAAAGATAGTATTATGAGGCCTTAGTTTTGATTTTGGATTTTTTTTGTCATTCAAATGCTATTTCTTCTTCTGAAACTGTGGCTTAGTACTGCTGTGCTATTTAGAGAGTATCTCAATCCTTTTGATGAGACAATGTTCTCTGATGTTGAAGCTGGCACTGATGCAGGAAATATCATTACAAATTCTCAGTCAGGAGGGCAGTGCATAAAAATGGAAATGAATGACAGAATTAAGTAAATGCAAGCTATAGTATCAATAATCTGGGGGGGGAGGGGGGGAGATAAATTAAAAGCAAATGTCTATCAGTGCCAAAGTGGAGGAAGAGGCGGGGCTGACTGCAGTCTAATGACACTGTTTGTTCTCATACTGAAGTAGACAGGATGCTTACTGCGTAGCCTGTGGGGAGCAGGTAAATGTGTATTCAAACAGCAATATACTGTATCCCTGCATCCAGCAAAACAAACTACTTTATACAACTCTGAGTATGTAAACTACCTTTTTTGTTCCCTCATTCATACAATTTTGTTCTGTGTGCAGGTTTTGCAGACCTCACATTACCCTCCTGAACTTTCCCACTCATATTTATATCATCGCACTCACCATTTGCACATATGCCCTTGGATTATTCAGAGCCAATGTCATGGTTTCGAGGCTGGCTGTGTCTCTGTCTACTCCACAAAAGACTTTTCTAATTGTCTTCAGACTGAGTCAGAGATAAGAACCATCATCATTTAGTTATTCTAATATGCTCGCTCCAGCGTTGTCAGGCAAACCGTCTGTGGCCTTTTCAACTGTAGGATTCATTGTTAGCTATTTGTGTGCAATGATCTTGACAGACAGCTCTCTCTGGGTGTTGATACAGAGTTCTATGTAATTACCTCTTCAATCCCTATCTCCCCCCCTCTCCCAGGGGATCAGTGTGCGGTGCCTACAGGGACAGGCGGGGAAGAAGAAGATGTCAATAATCCATCCTGTCCCCCCGCTGACATGTCATATATATTTCCTAGGAGGGTGCATAGATAATGAATCCCTGCCTCGCACCATATCAGCTGGAGAGATACTGTGTGTCCCGAGGGGAGGAGAAGAATTACACACGTCAGATGTCATCAGGAGATTTGCTATCAGATATTTAATTAGAAACAGAAACCTCTAATTTTCTTTAACTGGGTACAAGTACACATGGGTGTGTCCAGTTCATTTTTGTGTTTTTTTTGTGACCAAAGGTGAAAATACAACCCTGGTGCAGTGTGGCACAAAGTGAAAGAATGGCTGTACTGAATGAATACATTATACAGTATCAGCAGGTGGAGTTTGAGCGAGCTATAATGATGACAAATCACATCAGGCCTTCTCATCCTCTTTAAAAGCACCAGACAGTTTCCTAATGAGCCGGGAAGTGAGGGTCAAACCTCTCTGGAGAGAACGTCCCTGGGAAGCACAAGGCACAAGTCACAATATAGGAAAACTAGAGCTGAAACGATTAGTCAGTCAATAGATTCAACAGAAGATTAGTCAGCATCAATTGTGTTCCAACTTCCAGCATAGTTGTGACGCATTTTTACTATTTTAGAAACCAAATGATGAATCTATTTATCAAGATTTGTCAATAAGGAAAATAGCTGTTAACTAAATATATATTATTTGGTAGGTCTGTGTATATACTTTTGCCATCTAAAGCCAACACTTTTGTAATTAAGGAATAGAAGGAGCAGGTGGAAATATAAAAATGGCATTACAGCTGCCGGCTATAAATGCTAGCACAAAATCAGAGGCCCGTGCCTCATGCACTGTGGCTGAGCAGGACTAACATTAAACTCACTTTGTGCTACAGAAGGAAGAGGTCAGGCTGATGGAGCTGCCTCATGCTCTCTAATGTTTGTGTGTCCAGTCCTTTATGTCTGTGTCGCTACATGTTGGTGTGTGTGTGTATTGTGGGTTTTTTGGGTCTATGTGTGTTTGTGTGCATGCTCTGTGCAGTCCTGTATGTGTCATTGTGGCTGGGAGAACTGCTCCCAGGACAGCAGTGCATTAATCATGGGTTTTATAGGGTAGCTGGGTGTGACTCCCTCCTGCAGGCCCCCACACTGACATCACATGTGGTCCTCCAGGAGAAGGACATACATTCGTCCTTAGTTTGGGCATGTTGTGATTACGTATGTCTTGGGAAAGGAATTACTTGTCTCAAGGTCAGAACGGTCGCCTTGTAGTTCAATTTGCAAATTAAAATGATTTCACCAGATCTGACCTAATGAGTAATATAAAATGTGATATATTTCACATTACATGCCTGCACGTGTATTTAATGGATAGGAGATCATGGTTGAAATACAGCGAACACTGAGGCTTACCTCAGTGACTCTGTAATGATGGGATGCTTTTCCTGCCGTGGTCTGGACTCACGACTTTCTTCCAGGCCAAGGTCAATGTGAATCAATTATGATGACAGACCATTGATCATCCGAGTGCTCCATCTTTGCAATGTTGATAGAAAGACTTTAAGACTTTCACAGTGCCTCATTAATGTTTAATTTTGCTCTTATTGATCTGTTCATAACAAAGAGGCCCTGGTAAATGCCTACCCTCATGATGCGCTTCATACCAAAGGGCAAATTTTGGTTTGTGGGTTTTTTTCTGTTGACTTGAGACTACATCAAGAGAGAAGTGCTGTAATTAAAGAGGTCACTTGTTAATTGCTATTAACTGTTAATGTCAAACATTGTATTTGCTTACTCCTTCTAAGGTTGTTTATAGCTAACAATCACAATAGATCCATTAGGTTGTTATCTTTTGTTGCACTATTTCTTTATAATTTATCACACTAACGTAATGCTTGGACTATTTATAGTTTGCTGAATTGCTGTTTTGTTTAAACACTGAACTCTGGATTTATGACCCCCGATGGGAGGAAAAGGCCTTGATTAATTGACGTATCATCCATGTTAGAGCTGGCAGTATTTCTAGCCTCATGGCTCTGATGTATGGCGTAATATTTCCTGTTGTCTCCTTCTGCCAGGTACAACCAGACAGGCCAGAGATGGGGAAATCTCAGGGGTAGACTACAACTTTGTGTCCATCGAGGAGTTCTTCTCCTTGGAGGAGTCGGGAGCGCTGCTTGAGAGTGGAAAGTTCAAAGGTGAGGTTGTACTATTTCAACATTTTAACTAACTGTCCAGGCAACTTAGTGCAGCTGGGTTCTCTTCAAAACCTGTATGGTGATTCATCATGCAGTGTAGTTTATAGCACTTTTAATTATAACACAGCTTGAACATTTTCTTTTCTTGATTACTTGTGCTTCAGTGTGTGTGTGTGTGTGTGTGTGTGTGTGTGTGTGTGTGTGTGTGTGTGTGTGTGTTTAAATACTGGAAAATTACATAAACATATAATTATTTAACAACAGCCACAAACCAGCACCTTTAAAGCTCAATAATTAACACATTATTATCTTTCACATGTACAACAACTGAAGTGTAAAGAATTTATGGGAGTTATGTGCCAGAATATTTCTTGGCCAGTTGCAGTGACTTTTTGATTGTGTGGTAGGGTGATGATAAGACTCCAGGAAGATATAACGTGTTAATTGGTTTGCTTGAGAGGTGGTGTTGGTATTTGTTCCCTTTAGACAGAGCTAGCTGTTTTAGTCTGTGTTTTTGTGCAATCCTGTGCTAACTGGCTGCTGACTGTAGCTTCTTATTCAAGCTCATTTCCCAAAATATAAAACTATTCCCTCAAAGACCATTTTCTTTTTCTACTTTTGTTCCCTACAAATAAAGAACACCTATTGGCAGTTTTCTGTTGTAGTGATAAATAAGGTTTACACAGTTCATAACTGGAACATGTGTTGTAAAGCCATCTCTTTTTGCATGTTAATGCCATCAGGTGTTGCTCAGCTCGTATCTACCCTGCAGAATCTTCCCTCGTAAGGGTCAGAGTGCTGCCTCTGATTAAAAAGCCTCTATACATTAGCATCCATAATTTATTCGAGTTTAATGGGAGCAATAAAAGTCATCCTCACTTGCCTTACATGTGACATTGACAGACACATCGCTACGGCGAAGCAATCAGGAGTTTCAGCAGCATTGTGCATGTAGTAGCCTGCAGTAAACGCTGTAAATGGTGACGGCTGGTGACCTTGTTGTTGGGTTCAGTAATCTAATGTTTCCCCTCAACCCATTTGGATCTCCATGAGCCAAATGAAGGGGTGGAGGTAATTTAATTTTTGTCTTTAGCAGCTGGAGCAGATGGCTTGAACTGAGAATATAGAACATACAGTAGATGATCTCAGGGGACACATTAGACACACACATACAGGTATATAGTATGTGTTATATATGTGCATAATGACATGAACCCAGTCTGCTACTAAATATTTGGATATAAAATCTTTTATTTACCTCATGAACTCAAGTTGGAAGATGTTAATGCAGACTGTGTGCTGTTACTGACTGTCTTTAGATTCATGGCACTAGATTTTATTTGCGACACAGGGCATTTTCGTTTATTTCAATATTAGTTATGACATTTTTTAGCTAATTTACTGTTTAACTTTACAGTTTGACATGGCCATTGCAATACCATTTCTTTCTCCTGTCCTTCTGTGTCTCAGGGAATTACTACGGCACACCTCGACCCGTTCACATCAGCGCAGAGAGCCCCCCCATCACCTACCAGGAACACCGCAACCTGCTCAGAAACTTCCGCACACGCAGCAAATCGCTCAGCAACCTCGAGAAGACTGCAGAGGACGGCGAGAACAGCGAGGACGACTCAGGTCTATCAGGCAAGTATTGCTAAAACTGGTCTATGTGACAGCATGTGTGGGCAAGGAAAAAGCAAGAGGTAATCAGCTATTAATAGTATGTGGGCTGTTACATATTTATTGGGGCCCCTAGAAAACGTATCAGTTAAGCCCTGCACTGTAGCCAGTAGCTAAATACTGCATTGTCCCTCTATCTATAGCACCAGTCTCTGATACCCAAATTAATCAATCATTTGCACGATTAGTATGCTCTAAACCCTCAGTGGGGCTGTGGCCTCATCGATTGCTGGATCACATCCAAAGGAAGGTCAGGCTGCCTTAGGTCGAACAGACAAGGAGGTAAGCAGATAGGCGAGCATGCACACTGGGAGGTGAGGGAAAAAACACTGAGGAAGTGCTGTGACACGTAAACAGAAAGTGTTTGAATTCACCTGACGCTGGAATAGCCAACACACAGTTATTGTTCTTTTTTCTATTATAAGGCAAAAACTTTTTATATTTTAGATGTGGCTCATTGAACCAGACATGGTTTATTATATTGTTAAACAGGTGGCTTTAAAGACTTATGAATCACCAGTAGTTGAAGAAGTATTCAGATCCTTTATTCAAGTCACCAATACAACAATATAAAAATACTCCATTAAGTAAATGTGCTGCATTCAAAATCCTGCCTAAGTAAAAGTACGGAAGTATTGTCAAAGTATCAAAGTAAAAGAAAAATGTTCCCAACTTCGAGTCCTGCTACAAATTTTTTTATTCAATTTGTGGACTTGGGACTCTGCGTACTACATGAGTTCCTGTCCGCCATGTGGCCCTAGAGAAGGGCCACTTATTAGATGTTATGTGCGAGTATCTCATATGTAGACCACACCATGAAAATGTCATGTAAATCAGATGACTATTGCTATACAAAGCTTACTTCCTGTTATCGATTGGGGACTATGACTGTAATTGGCATGTAAATGTGTTCAGGCTGGGAATCAAACGTGTGAAGTTTGGAGCCGACTGGACATGTAGATGTGTTCAGAGGGGGGAAACCTGCAGTTTGGGTCACGGCTCGGGCCCTAATAATACATGGTATATTATGATTATAGTAATTATAGTATTATAGTATTGCATAAGTGGATGGAAATGGAAATAAGTAAGTACAAGTACCTAAACATTTTATTTTCCACCACTGTTGATTACATCATTTACCCAGATAAAATCATGAAGTGTTGGAGAGTTAGAGAAGTAATGGCAACAGGAAACTAGAACACCAGCGCTGAACAGAAGGCGAGTATGAGATTAGATGGTTAGGGTAAAGGGAGCAAGGCAGCGACAGGGTTGTGGTGGTGGAGGCAGGTAGGGAGAGTGTTGGAAAGGTTGTGGCAGGGAGCCAGAATGGTACAGAAGATAAGAGAGAGGCAGGCAGAGTGGGAGGTGAGAAACACAGGCAGGCAGAGATCCAGACAGTTAGAGACGTGCTCCAAACAGGCAGGTAGGGCAGCAGGCAGCCTGGACTGGGGGGTTTGAATCAGGATGCAGGCAGGATGGAGTTTGAGAATGCCATCCAACACCCTGACCTCTGCTGAGTCATCTTCTGAAGTGAAACTGTGTGGGTGGATGGGTTGGGCAGGACTTGTCGTGTGCTGCAGGACCCAGGACGCCTGTGTTATGTCCGACATCTCTCAGATCCATGCTGGAGCTCACAGCTGAAGGACAGCTACAAGGACAGCTCGGCAAAAAAATATGCTTATTTTTCTTCCGCTGGTAGTGTGGCATGCATGGTCACACACTCTGCCTCCTTAGGGAGGGGACAAAGCCGGACAAGCTGCTGACCTCAGATCTTTTTGTTTGACAGCCCCCAGTGAAATTGCCCGCATCAGGTCGTTAAAGAATGCAAACTTTTTCACCGTCTGTTAAATTATATTTATTATTATATACTGTTCAGTTTTGATTTTCAACACTCTTTCTTGTCACAATAATTACAGGAGGCTCTGCAGGTGTCAGCAGCAGCGCCCCTCCTTTCCATCGGTCCCCCGTTCGGCCCCGGGCATCCAGCAGCGGGGATGGTCGTGCCATAGAGAACGGGATCATCGGCAGCAGAAGTGGTGTCAGGGTGAGAGGAGTGATGCCGGATCACTGGGAGCTGGCCTTCAGTGACCCAGGAGAGTCTCACTACATAGAGTGAGTATCTACCTGTTTCTTCACAAATCTGTGAAAGGGACTGGGAACAGTGGGAAACTCACAGCTAGCCTTGCTCTGTCTTAACACCTTATATCTTGTCTGTTTAATTCATTAACATATTCATTCACAGGTTGTGGTTTTGCGGTCAGTGTGTCAGGCGGTTCAGTATTTCCCCACCAATTGGTGATTCCCCTTACACACCCTGAGACCAAACGTATCGCTAACCTCGACAAGCCAGTTTCTCAGATGCTTAACTTCAACCCAACCATCCTAATGCCAACCAGTTAAAGGACCTGTGTGTGATTCAGAGGCATCTAGTAGTGCAATTCCAAGCTTGTAGGAGAAACTACAGTGGCTACAAAACTCTTGCAAAAAACACAAGAGGCCATATCTAGAGCCAGTGTTTGGTTTGTTCATTCTGGGCTACTGTAGAAACATGGCGGTTCAACATGGTAGCTTCAGTGGAAGAAGACCCACTCCCTGTGGAGATAAAAAAGACTCATTGTAAGGAAACAAAAACACCAAGATTCTTAAATTCAGTTGATTATACACTAATGGACAACATACTAATTAATATTACATTTCATTTCTGCCAATAGATCCTTCTAAATGTTACACACTGGACTGGAGTCTATGATAACTCACCTAAGCCCTAATCCCAATCACTGAGGTCAACGGTACAGGAAAAACGTTTTTGTACTTCAGTTTTTGTATAAATTAAAAAATTAAGATATATAGTTATTTACTGAGCTTTAGAAGTGTAGGTAGGCAGATTTTGTTACCTTTGGACAAAGCCAGGTTTGCTGCTTCCCCTGTTTTGTTTATGCTAAGCTAACTGCCTCTTGTTTCCAGCTTCCTATTTACCAGATAAGAGACTGGTAATGATCTTTTCATCAACCTCTCAGCAAGAACGTGAATATTCGTCAAATGCCGAACTATTCCTTTAAGCATGCTCTGAATACAGTGGAGCTGCTATGCGAAGTTGTCTTGTCTATCAATGGAAGGCATCTCTGTTCTGAGTGTATTGAATTCCAATGCTGTCATATTATATCCAATGCTATTATGTTTCTGAAGAGGGAGCCTTTTCTTTAGCTTTTCCCCCTTTTGTCTCTCCAAGTCGCAACCCGAGGAGGACCAGCTGGCAGAGTCCTCGAGCCTCAAGCAGGGAGACTGTCTATAAAAATGAATGTGAGTCTCTTTGTTTCTTTTTCTTTCTCTCTCTGGATGTAATTATTGAAACGCTGGAGACACGTTTAACTGTTGAACAGCCTAAATTAAGCTACATATTTATCAAGAACGGAAGTAACAGACACAGCCAGCTTGTTAGAGTCAAATGAGATGGAATGAGCTTTTAGCTGAACAGAGACATGTAAGTGATTAAGGCCTAAAGCTCGGAGCTGCTGGCAAAGAGCCAGACTTACTGCTGAGGCTGGCAGAGTCCACACATGGATGGCATGTGACTGGCAACTTAATTTCATAATTTGGTCACATGATTTGCTTTTAAAAGAACAAGGGCATGATCTAGTTTTTGATGTTTGTCTGACATGGCTGATTGCAAACTGTAAGAAACCCATCTGTTATGGTGCTATGATTCCAGCTTGTCTCAGTAAAGTGCAGTACACTTCTCTCACCAGCAGAAGGTGATATAATCTCCATTATAGCCAGAACTACCTGCATTTGAAAGGATTACTGTAAAATCTGGTGCAAGTGGAATCCAAATGTATACTGTCATAATGTGCTAGGATGGATATATGTTTAACTTTACGCAACCTTAAATGGTTGCAGCTCCACTTACAAACTTGGGGCTAAAATAAGAAGTAAAAATGGGCGGAAATTAAAATCTGTTTTCCACAGATTTGATGATTCAAAGTAAACTGTAAATAAAAGACAGAGATTACAGCACTGAGTTGGGTCAATCTAATGGATTATGTTGCTGATTTTAAGGAGGTCGTCTATAATGGATTCTGCTTTAATGCAATCTTTCCACCAAATGCTTTCGGTTTGTGTGCATGTTTATTTATTTATAAGTATTTTTTTGTTAAAAGCCATCTGCCGATAGGTTTAAAGTCTGACTCTCTCTCTCTTTTTCCTCACTCCCAAACCCGTCATCATTTAGTCGTATAAACACATCCAGGACAGAAACTGTTATAACTCCTCTCTTTTTCTAATATTACTCTAGTGTTTTGTTGTTTTCTTTTAAACCCTCGCAGCCTTGAAGACTTTGACAACTTTTCCTTGGAGGTAAGCATCACCATTATCTCATCCTCTCTGTCTCTCTGTTTCTGTATATTTCGGTGACTACCAGGGTTCACAGACCAGCCTGGGGAGCTCAGGGGTTTCCCTGTGCACACACACTTGACCAAGGGCTCCAGAGGGTTTGGTTTCAATATTGTAGGGGGCAGCAGGCCAAGGGAGTTCCTTCAGGTCTACAGTGTGACTGCAAGTGGACCCTCAGCGCTCAAGACAGGTAAGATTGTATGAATCAGGGATGATTACTGCATCAGAAAAATAGCAGAAATTAATTGCTTTAAAAAAAAAAAAGATATGTGAGAGAACTGAAGAGAGGAGGGGACACATTCTCACACACACAAACACAAAACTTACTGTTATATTATTTAGTAATTTGGTAATTTGATTTAGTAATTGCACAAGACTTACCATAGCTGCAGATTGAGAGCTGTAACTATGGTTGCTGAAATCTTGCAGAACGAAAAATATTTTAATCAGTGGTGTATCTTAACAGCCTATCTCTGTACTTCTCTTTCTCCACTCTTTGGGATTACACATCTGGAATTTTGATCTCCCGCTGCAAGTTTATATCACAATCAGCCCTTAATCCTCAGGACTAGCACACCATAATCAAGCTATCATAACACACGCATATGCAACGGTGCACATCCACTTCACAGACACACAAATACCAATATAGGCAGATATTACTACTTTAGGAAGCCACAGCACAGCCTGTCTCTGCAGGGACTGATCTAGTTCATATCTGTTAATAGGCTGGTTTAGGGGGATTAGTTTGTTGGATTAGTCAACACCCACACAAAACACAGAGATAGTGTTTTCAAACTGCACTTATCTGCACACTCAAGCATATGAAAATTGTCAAAAAAGTCGAAGCATTAATGCATAAAAACAAATTGTAACCACAAAGGTGTGTAATTTTGCAGCGAAGTATTATATTAACTGTGTTGTAATGATATCTCTATCCATGTGCTGTCTTTTTATGCTTCATTAGCGGACATCCTGGTGTACATCAATGACGTTTGTGTGTTAGGAGTGTCTCACAAAGAGGTGGTAGAGATGCTCAAGTCGGTGCCTGTGGGCCACAGTGTGGATGTAGAGGTTAGAAGAGGGTATCCCATGCTCTACAATCATGACGGTTGTCCCAAGCAGCCCCCGCCAAGGCTACTGGACAGCGGAGACCCCATCCTACCACCCACCACCACCCAGCCTCAGCCTCTTCACCAACTACCTCGCCTCCCAACACCCACTCCCCAAGCCCAGCACTTTAATTTTAACGGGGTCCACAGTGACGGGAGCTACATGGAACCAGGGATGACTCTAGACTCTAATGGAAATGCCACGTCCTTCGCCACCAGACAGCCGCCCTCATACAGACGCTCCAGTATGAGCAACCCTGCCCCCTCCTCCTCACCCATGCGTCCTCCTCGTTCCCTGAGAAGTTTAGCCAGGCTGCAGTCATTCGACCCAACGCTTGCCAGCCAGAGTGACAGTGAAGTTGTTTCTGCCATTGGTTCACACAGGTAACACCTAGACGTATGGCACAAAGAAGGTTCCTGCAGAAATTGTACCTTTGAGGTGCATTCATTTAAATTTGTCATTCCCTTTTTAAAGTTAATTATTAGTAATTGTTAGCAGGCTGCAGTGGCAAGTTAGAAATAGCAGCAACAGTACCCGTAGGTGTGAGTTTCAACAAGGTCAAAAAAGTATTCAGCAAATATTTGGATAATTAATCATTTTCAATTCCAAATGTTAAATGGCTCGAGCTTCTTAAATGTCAGGATTTGGTACTTTTTTGTCATATGTGATAGTCAATGAAATATCTTTGGATTACAATTGGACAAAAGAAGCAATATGAAGATGTCACTTTGGAAATTGTGATGAGCATTTTGACATTTTATAATCATAATGAAAACAAGCATTCGTTGCCACCCTAAACATTTCAGAATACTGTATGTGTCAAAACAAAGACTTTCTGTATTTTCTATTGATTGACTCTCCTGTTCTTTTTCATTAGGGCATCAATGATCCGTAATCACAACAACAACTCCCTCTCGACACCCCCTCATCCTTTTCGTTATGGCACGTCCAAGTCATCTGAGAGTGATCTGTCCACCTGCACCCTGTCGGGGTCCCGGCTGCCCCTGCCTCAGTCACCGAGGAGGCCGATGTCATCCCCCGGTGGCCCCCATAGCGTGCACTCCCACCTCTTCAGACCGCAGACCTCACTCAGACCACCCCCAACCCCTGACAGCCCTCACCACCGAGGCTTCAATGGTTTCCATGGCAACTCCAGCCCCACTGCGAGCCCCAGCAGTGTGTCCTCTCCTGGGGCGATGAGTATGGGCAGTTTCAGCGGAGGGGAGCTGGTGCCGGTGGCCTTGGCCCAGACTGAAGGAGACCGAGGACTTGGCTTCAGCGTGACGGCTGGCGGACCAGGAGGCAGGATAACTATAGTGAAAAGAGTCTGGGACAGGAAGCAGTGCAACTCCCTGCAGCCAGGGGATGCTATTGTCAAAATCAACGGAGCGGATGTCCAGAGTCTTAGCTTTGCACAGGTAGTGGAGGACCAAATGGGAGGGAAGTCAGGAGAAGTAATGTGAACGAAACACAATTCGTAGTGGCTGGTTTAAACGGTGGTTCCACACCTTCTTTGCTTAAAGCAGTGTCTGCTTGTCACAGGGTGCATGAGTTGCAGTCAATTGAAGCGTGATTTTCCTTACTTTCCTTCCCCCAGGTTGGGAACCACTGGGTTAAAACATGCTAAATCACCAGTGTGGTGCTTTAATTCAATTTGAGACTTGAACACCGCCTTAAAAGGTGTCAAATATAACCAAAAAATCTCACTATGAGTCACTATATAATTATATGTTTGTTGACAGGTACAAACAGTTCTCCTGGAACACACCAAACAGGCAGAAGTCATCTTGTTGGTTTACAGAGGAGGTAAATGACTCACAGTCATTGTAGAGTCAGTGATTTTAGTAACTGACAAGTATTCACTGTGGCTAAATTCATCTCACAGTTATTTTCTCTCTAATTATCAGGCATCTATCATTCAACTGTCTCCCCTGGCTCTAATCGGAGACTCCCTCCACCTCTACTCCGCCCCCCTCCTCCACCTTCAGACAACTCCTCTGTGCTCCCGGAAGTGCTGCCTATGCCCCGTACTTCCATTAGCACCCCTCCATCCCCAGCGTTGATGCGTTCCTCGCTGATCCAGAGCACGAGTTTCTTGGAGTCGATTCCAGTGACCCTGACCATGGAACCCAAAGACTGGATCAACACGGGCCTAGAGGACGAGGCAGGTGGAGTCACAGTGCCTGATTCAGGTCTGGAGAGGCAGGGTGGCGAACGAACTCGGCCTCTCCGTGGGTTTGATGTGGAGCTGAGGAGAAAGCCAGGAGAGGGATTTGGGTTCGTCATTGCCTCTCAGGATGTGGAGAATGGCAAAGGTGAGAGCCAACTAGACAGCGACAAATCATACTGTGCAACATGTGTATCAAGTTAAATGGATTAAATGTAGCACACGTTTTGGTTTGTAAAACTATATTTTTTAATCTAATAATCTGAAGTAGAACGGGACGGGCATTACACAGCATAAGTTGAACTCTTCTGGCCCAGTAAAACCATTTGGTTACCTGCCCAGGGGTTTCATTTGGATGCCCTTGTGGACAGACGCACCATTAGGTAATTACAGTTTAAAAAGTGGTCATTGTGGCCACATGCCACTGGATGAGTCATGATGCATCATCAGTGTTTTTTTTCTAATTTGGTTTTATTTGCATTTGCATTGTTGAAAGAAATCAGTTTTGGCATCCACTATTATTACTGACTGGTGTGCACAAAGTATACTTTTGGAGAGCTGGCACAAAATTCCCCAGCATAATTACTCAAGTGTATTTTCTGTCTACATTTATGAAAAGTTAAATGCCAATGCACTACGATGTTTGAATTTCTTTTCAGAAAAATCTTACTGCTAAAATACAAAAAAATACCTTTTCTGGAAGGATCTTGTAAAGCCCCATGTTTCACTTTACACAGACACACACATGCATGCCTTTGTTCCTGCACCCGTAGGCTTACATTTTCTTTGTGTGTGGTTGTGTGTGATTTACCTGGTCCTTCGTGTGCTCCTGAGGAATGGAGCTGATATTGCAATATTCAGAATCTCATGCGTCAACGACCAATAGATGGGCTTATTAAAGGAATAGTTTGATGTTACACGCTTACTCAAAGATCAATACTACAATAAATATGAAGCTAAAGCGAGCGGCAAATCAGCTTAGCTTGGCATAAAGACTGGAGACTGGGGCAAACAGCTAGTCAGGTTCTGTCCAAAGGTAACACCCCATCATATTTATCATACAGACATGATATTGATGTTCTCATCTAACTCTCAGCACAAAGCGAATATGCGTAGTTCCCCAAATGTCAAGCTTTACCTTTAAGATATTTATAGGTTGTTTACAGGTTTAATATGTATCCGTGCTCTTTTTAATTCATTTTATCAGCTCAAGTGCGTCCTGCAGAATGACCTTTTGATAAAAGTATCATATGACTTGCATCCCGCTCTGCCTTTCTCTATCCGCTCTGACCTGACAGGATGTTGAGGCTTGTTTATGTTCTGTCTGGGAAGTGAACACGTCTTGCCCTTATTAGCTTTTAGTGTAGTGCTTATGAATAGCAGTTTAACCGCAGCATCTCTGTGATGTATTACCCACTCTCCCCTTCCTTTGTGTTGTATTGGCTGCCCTCTGTTCCAGTTTGATGCAGTTCAATTTGCTTTATGGCCCAAGCGAACACACGTTTATGTTCTCATGGTGAGATTAAGGTTGTAGTTGCACCTGTCTCTGCAGTAAAGAGACCCTCCCTCCTTCCTCAAACCTCCATCCCCACTGTGTCCTCATTCTCCCCTTCATTTCACTCCTGTCATGTCACAGAAAGAGGTCCCCTCTGTCTCTCCATATCTGCCTTTATCCTCTATCATTTACTCTTCCAGTCTCTCCCGCTCTCTTCCTCTCATCAGTCTTTCTCTCCACCACTCTCTCCCTCACAAGCTCCCGCCCACTCACTCTCTCTCTCCCTCTCTCCCTCACACCCCTTTACTCTGCAGTAAAAGCGTCCGGTCTGGTTTTTCAAAAGATTAAAACTCTCCCTCTCTCTCTTCTTCTCTCTCTCTTTCCCTCCCTCCACCTCCTGCTCTCTCTGTTGCTCTCTGAATGCTTAACAGAAATGCTACGCTGAGCATTTCCCTTGCAGAGGAGCAACAGAGGCGACAGCAAACCTGTGTTTTAGCTCCTGTTGACCGTTACATGTGAATCTCAACACCTCCAAGCTGCCTGACACGGAATCTAGGATTTTTTTTTGATTTTGTTTTTCTGCGCATGCTAATCAAAGAGCCATGCTGGAGAGACTACAGTCTGCTTTGAAAACTGTGAAGGAGTCCAAACGTAATTATTTGCTCCACTTCTCATTTCATGTTTACTGAAAAATGGGAGGGTACTGGTTTGGTGCAGTGTTTTACGTTTAGCTTTTTTTTATGCAGGAGCTAGAGGATTTGATTCTGTGTTGCACACTAAAGTTTGCTCAGTCAAATGTGTTGACTTCGGCAGTATGAAAGTTAGATCCAGAGGCTCACATTATCCAGATGTGAGATAGTTGATCAAACTGATGCTGTGATTGATATGTATTAGGGCAAATTTTACAGTTATGCTGGATGATGATTGCAGTGGCAACAACAGATGAAAGGGAATTTGTGTGGTGACGTAGTAATGGTCTGTGTATTAGAGTCAGGAGCCACACGTGCAGTAAAACGAATGAAGTTAACAAATAGTTCAGCCGTAACTAACCTGCACACACACTACTGTATGAATGAGCTAAAGATCAACAGTGCTCTCACCGGTCTCCGACATGTACTAAGCTTCTGCAGGCTGCTGTGGGGATGTCTGCACTGGCTGATGCATTTGGGCTGCAGAGGGGGATTTTACGATGGCAAGGGAGGGGGGCTGCTACTGCTCCTGAGCGGTTATCAGTGCAGCACGTCAGAGGCTGGCTGGCTGCTGGGCATACCGCAGTGGGATTACTCTGGACAGGAGAACATGGAGAGCCAGAGGAAAAGACACTAATATAAAGCAGTCCATTTGGATGCATCTGTGTGTAGTTTAAGCGTGTGTTTGTGTGTGTGTGTGTGTTTGTGTGTGTGTGTGGGTGAGTACATCTGTCCCAATCCCTGTGCGTGTGAGTCACTGTGCATGTGTGTGGTTTTGTACATGCGTGTGTGAGTGTGTGTGCACAGTGCTGTGTGTATGGCTGTTGCATGTGCATTCATGTGTTTGGCGACTGTTGATGTTGGACCGATGTATTATGCATGATTAGAAGACTATTTGCAAAGCTGCCTTGGCTTTGATTTGACCTGATTGCCGTTTCTGCCTGGGTCACCCAGATTAGGCCCAGACTGGAGATGTGTCTCTGAACTCTGAATTATAGGCTGTACCTTTTTACGAGGATCATCATTCCAATGTGACATACAATTCATCTCCTATTCCTAGCTGCCACACTTACAGTTTTAAGCTGTTAACAATCATGACATGGCGCTCTATACGCGATTTACAGATGCTATTTTTATCCTGGAGAGCTATACTGACTGTGTACCTCAGCTGAATGAGAGTCTCAAAATGTTTATGCTGCCTGATGGGTTACATAAGGCCACTGGCAAGACTCTAGAGGAGCCAGCTGTCACCAAAGCACAGCATACCCTCAAAGGGGGATCAGAGAGAGAGTAATAGGGAGTTTACTAAGTTACAGAAAAGGGAACAGAAGATAGAATCAGAAGTCTAAGCAGACAGGGAAAGATCGTCCAGCTAAAAACTGTAAGAAGCTTTTTAGTTGGTGCAAGAGATTAATGAAAGCAAATTTATTTTTAGGCTGCTTGATACTTTTCTCATCGACCTCAGACACTGACCAGAGTTGAGCTTAATTGTGAGTTATGGGCTCTTTGTACAGAAGATAAGACAAATTGAGTTCTTGATACATGGAGCATATTGTCCCTCCTCACATTGTACCCACACTTCAATTCAGAGGTCAGTTGAATCTGACAAAAAAGACAGGAACACTTGCACATCATCTCCTGTGTATAGTGGGAGTGATAATGTGGTGTGTTTGAGCGGTGAAGTGGCTGGGATAAGACTGCCAGCGTTTTCCCACACAGAGGAGAAAGAACAAAATATTGCTGTGTGTGTTTTTATGTGTGTGTTTTTGTATGCTAGTGGCATACTAATGCAGACATACTGCAAATTTGTGGATCTTAGAAGAGCTGAGCCTAAAAAATCACTGACGCCATCTAAAACCAAAGTGTAAATATCTAAAGCCTGTTGTTGTGTGCAGTTTGACAGATCCAGGACAGGAAAATATTGCTGTAAAGCTTGTGTTCCATGACAGTGTGTTCTTGAGGTAGAAGACAAATCATTGAATGGCGAAAAACAGTAGCCAGTGTGTCAGCGGATGGAGAGATAGGTTGATAGATGGGAAGATGAAGGAGAAGAGGAGAGTGTTTCAAGGAGACAGTGGGGGAGGTGAAGAAGGTTTCTGTAGAAAGAAATGTATAAAGTAAACCCTGCCAAAAACAATCCAAAGCTTAATTACAGCTTGTTTTAGGAATCCTGGCAAAGGCACCGATAAAGTAAATCTTCTAGCTCTTAAATTTGACCCCACTTATTATTCATTGCCTTCTGATAAAAGGAAAGTTTGGGGATTTGATGGAGTTTCATGTTTGAGCTGCAACTTTACTCGTGTATGAACTACTCAACATATAATCATAAATAAGTTATTTAAGGTAGTAATAACTGATATTTTCTGTCCTCTCTTCAGCTGCTTCACTTCTCCCTCACCGGTTTGTGACAGTCCGTCGAGGCAGCCCAGCGTCCAAGAGTGGTCAGATCCGGCCTGGAGATCGATTAGAGGCAGTGGAGGGACGCTCAGTGGTGACTCTGCCTCATCGGGAGCTTGCTCAGATCCTCCGTCGAGCGGGAAATACTCTACGTCTCACCATTGTCCCCCGTCCCAGCACCTGTAAGCATAGACATACGTATCCAGGTAACACGCGAATATACAGCCTTAATTCATAATCTGACTTCAATCATCATCTTTTTTTCAGATACTTCAAGCCTTTCAGCAGAAACCACTGAGCATGAACCCGGTCACAGAAGCAAAAAGGGTCAGAGGTCACGTCCAAAGGTGAGAGCAGCACCAGAATCATAATGTGTAACGCATGGTCTCTTTCTGTAGCTCATCTTGTCCACTGTCAGTGTATAATATTTCCTTCAGTGATGACTATCAGCCTCCTTCTTACCCTCTCTGCACTCGTCTCCCAGCGTGATTCAAGGTATTACAGTGTAGACCTGGATCGTGGCCCCTCAGGCTTCGGCTTCAGCCTCCGAGGGGGCAGTGAGTATAACATGGGCCTCTACGTCCTGGGACTGATGGAGGGGGGGCCGGCATCACGCAGTCAGAAAATGCAGGTGTGTCTCTTAGTAAACATGCATATCCTACTCTTTTGCTGTAGTGTACATACATCTGTATTATCCTCTGTATTTGTATCATCTTCTCTGTCTTTTGAATAAGCAAACAGCAAATTTCCAACAGACATTTGATGAAATCTGGGTTGATTGATAACAGTGTACTTGTACTAACTATATACTTCTAAATACAAAACAAATCTGTACTCTTATTTTGTTGCTCTGTCATGTAAAAAAGTGCTGTGATTACATTTTCTTGTGAGTCAAGTGAGACACTTTGAGAATGTGAGAATGAGAATGTTTTTCTCAATAACGTTAAATATTCATGACCAAGTGTTAAGTAAAGTTAAAGTGTTAAAAAAAGCCCTCCTTTTGTATTATTCATAAAGAGTTTAACACACAGTCTGATTCATCAGGACTGTGTAATTGTGGTTTGATTGGGGTTAATTGAGAGACTTGGCAGCATAAGTAATCAATCCCACATCACATTTTGATTCAAATGTTGCCAAATTCTGATTGTTGTACCATGATTGCCTTGATTTATATATTTTTTTATATGTAGATTCACAATATTTTCAGTCAGTAACATCAGGTCAAATTTTATTTTATAACCAAAAATCATTTAAACAAATTATATTTTCACCTTTCTCAGTTGTACTTGGTGTTTAGTACTAACTAATGTTAGCATGCTAAATTTAAGATGATGAAGTAGACCTATCTGCTGAACATAAACATGTTAGCATTGTAATTATGAGCATGCACGCTATAATGGATTACTGGGAGACTAAGACAGAGCCATTGTTCATGTTATTAGTCCTACCTGTGCTTTTCCTGCCATGATAAGTCAAAATGTCTGCTGTGAAAAAAGGCCATCTTAGTAACTGTTATGCAAATATTACTATAAATGTTACTTTAATAGAGATAGAGAGATATTCGATCCAATATTTAAAGTAATGTTGTGTTTGTGTGCCGTGGCTGCAGGTCAGTGATCAGCTTGTAGAGATCAATGGAGACAGTACAGCAGGGATGACCCACAGCCAGGCGGTCGAGCAGATCCGCAGAGGAGGCCACCGCATACACCTGGTGCTCAAGAGAGGAAACGGCTACGTGCCTGACTATGGTGAGACACAGTGGGAGCTTTGAGGAATATTTCAGGATGTTGCCACCATATGTTTACAGGGAAATTTTTAATATATGAGATTTAAAATATAAGACATTAAAAAATGGCGGATCTCATGTCTCGGGTGTGTTTATCTCCTTTCTCCTATTTCTGCGGGACTGATTCTAACTAATGTACTTTCTATCTTTTTTTACCATTTCCTTTTCTTTTGTGGTGGTTCCCACCTTCTAACACATCTGCATCTGTGGTTCATTTGATATTTTTTTTGCTTTTAACATTCCCAACGCCACATTTCCCTACTTCATTTGGCTTATCTTGGTTTCTTTCCAAACACGTCTGTCCTTTCTGCTCCACTCCTTCTTTCCTTGTCTTTTCCCTTTTTTTCTCTTTCTCTCAGTGGAGCTCTCCAGTTTGTCTCTATGTATGACCAACTCCAAGCTAGGCGAGCCTTGCTTCTATGTCATTGGACGGACAGAGAATACGCGGTTGGTAATGGTTCCTGTTAGTTCTCCCATTTTCTGTCTCTCTACATTCCTCTACTCAGTCACCGCTGCTGTCTTCACTTGTAGTGTTGGACCTCCTCACTATTAAAATAATCTTGATCATCAACTGAAGTAATGATGTAGAAATGTACTATATTATACTGATTTCTTGCCCTATTTAGTTCCCCTCAGACCTACCTCTGAACAGACTTTGCCAGCTTCACAATTTGTAGTCACACTGAATTATTTAAAAAGAATGGCATGATTATGCTATTATGGAGCATACTGATAGTCAGATGTGTATTTCTAATAAAGGTTCATCTGAAGGTTGCACTAAAATAGAAAAGCAGCTGTTGTTACACAAGCTGACCTATTGCACCTAAACAAAAGGGGGGGGGGAGCTCTTTAATAACAGATTACATAAAGCTCTTCCTCTCTTTTACCTGCCTATTCACTCTGTTTTCTCCTCCTCTCTCCATCCCCTACTCTCTCTATGTCATATATACCCAGGCCGTGAGCACAGAATCACCTCCCCCTCCCTCCTGCGTCACCCCAAGGAGCAGGGTTTGGCTGCAGTAGACTCCACCGGGCGGAAGGGGCACAGCTCCAAGCAGAAGAGGAGAAGCAGGTCTTCAAATGTACGTGAGAGAGGGGAACAGACGGAAAGAAGAAGGAGGGGAGCTGTCTCAGAGGGAGGAGGGCGCTTGGCTTTACAAAGCCCCATCTCTAAGCGCAGAGAGGGGTCTCGGGAAGCCAGGGACAAAAAGAGGAGGAGGAGAAAAAGGGGCACTCAGAGTTTACCAAGAGATGCCCTCGGGAATCATGATGATAGTGAGACGGAAAGAGGGACAGTGAGGGGAAGGAAAAGGGAGAGGGAGAGGGGAAGGAGCAAAACCAGAGGAAGGAAAAGTAAAAGTGAGGAGAGGGTGAGGAAGCCAGAGGCTGAAGAGCCTGAGCAACAGGAAGAGCAGGAGGTACCTGCTGTTGAGGAAAAGGTGGAAGAAAAGACGGAGGAGTTGGAGGAGAGAGTCAGTTTAGAGACTGAAGAGGGTGAAGACAATGTTTTCCTGCCCATTCCAAGTCCTCACCAAAAGCTTCCCAGTCCCAAACTAAACTGGGAGGTGGAGAATGAGGAAAACGGGGAGGTGGAGAATGATGAAAACGGGAAGGTGGAGAATGATGAAAACGGGGAGGTGGTAGCAGAGTACAGGGAGCTGAGGAAAGAGAAGGAGCAGGAGAGGTCATGGGGCGATGACAGGGGTGAAAATAGTGAGACAGAGCTGAATGAGGATCAGAAAGATGAAGATGCACAGAGCGAGCGTGCCGAGAGGCGTTTACCAAGTGTTGCTGTGATAGATCCGGTGTCACAGAGAAAGCCCTTCTCCTTCCTCACCTCCACACTGTCCATAGGGCAGCTGGGGGACGATGAGTCAGAGTCAGAAGGCAGCCAATCTGACAGCAGCGTGTCTGCTGCCAGCATCTCAGGCCTTTCTCTGGCCGCCACAGAAGCAGGCGGACGCAGGGCCAAGGTGCTGCCAGGCCCCTGGCTCGCACCCAGCCAGCAGAGGGTGGCTCAGGTCATAGAGGGGAGCGAGCACCTTAGGAGGCGGACGGGGCAGGGAGGAGGAAGAAGCGCTGTCTCTTGATTTTTAACAGGAAGTAGAGCATGCAGCAGCTGAACAACACCGTATCAGATTCTGTCAGTTTCACACTGTTAGACCTCGACTTGTTTTCTGCAGCTACCCACACTACCAACATTTTCTCTCAGTCACTTTGATATCTACAGTAGTATGAAGTCATATTCTTTGTGCCTTTTTACAGCTGACCTCTGGCTGATGTTAAATGTCAATATCACATTCTTACATGGTAAAGTTATGTCTGTTTGGTTGGTGAATCAGCAGCGACATTGTCTTTCTTTCTGAGGCACTGTCACCCTCACTATGTTTCACTCCTCCTCTTTACATTTGCAGCATTTGTTGTAGATGTTTCCAAGACAATAAGGTATTTCAGAAACCTTTGTTTATCCTACTTCCTACGTCTCAGTCACCTCTCTGCATCTCTGTCTTCAAGATAACTTTAGCAGTGTCCTTTCTGAAGAACCCCCTACTGTACAAAAACTGCATAGACACTCTATTATACCTCATGAAGATACTGAGCAATAATGATGCAAACTGTACAAGACTATCAGCCATCTATTTCCACTGCACCACGCCGATCTGGTCTGAGAGGAAACCGTGTAACATGTTTGTACAATATTTGTCTTATGTGGACACTTGCCTCGACTTGTAATGTTGTTCCGTATAACTGAATATTTGATTGTGATAATGCAAATCCCCTTTGACAGCAGGTGTGAAATCTATATTCTGTAAATATTCGTAGAGGAATAAATGAGAGAACCTATTGTAAATAATATACTAACTGGAGCAAAGCCCTGATTTGTATTACCATATTGTAATACATCATAAGTCTATATATATATATATATATATATATATATATATATATATATTTATATATATCTAAACATATGCAGTATATCTATATATTACATACAACAGCTACCCAATCATATCATTTAATATTGTGTGTTGAGAATTTAATGTGAAAATTGGTATATAGCTTTTGTGAAGGCTGAAAATGTAAACAGAACTATATTGTAACTGCCCTAATTCATACATGAATGTTTTGTAATATGCTGCTTGAGTGCGGATAAGGATACTCTATGTTGTACCCTACTTCAGAAGTCAGCAAAAGATGCCAAAAATATGCATCCAGTGTGCATATTTCTTGTACTGTTAATATTGTGTATGTGGGGTCAGAACAAAACCACTATCTAGATTCCAGAGAGTGCTGTGCCCATCGTGCCACGTACAGTTGCCTTGGTAACATAAACCACTTTATCCTAACCACTGATTTTTCTTACTGTGAAAACCCTTTGCTCTGAGGTCTCAAACACAAGAGAGGTGGGCGGGCCGTTTAGTAATTTCAGTCATGCCAAAAAAGGCCCCTTACTGTAAATCCACAAAATATAATAATAATAATAATAATAATAATAAGAGGAAGAAGAAGCCTCTGCAGAATCTGAGCTCAGTGTCGCGTCTAAGATGGCAAAATAGCACATCCTTTTGTTTTGCTCTCTTTTTTAAAAATTCTGTTATGGAACAAAAAAAACAAACAAAAAAAAAAAACAAGCTGAATGGATACTGTGAGATGTTATTTTTCTATGAAATTATCTTTTTTGAAATACTCAGGTTTTACAGATACTTTGCTCTCTAGATAAGCCATTAGGAAGAAAAGCTACAAAGTGACTTCACACCGTTTTTCACAACACAGAGTGGGTTCGTATTATTTAAATGTTAAAGCACTGTTACGTTCGTTCTTTGACGGCAGCATTAGGAGACGCAGACTGTTACAGATGTTTGTTACCAGCCCATAATTATCTAAAGATTGATGCTATAAGTGAAGTCCTCCCTTCATTTGTACCCATTTTGAACCAACCGCAGAACTCAGATGAATTGCTTGGTGTGCCCTGCCCATTTGTTTGCTGTGCTGCCCAGAAATGGTAGTACAGTGATAAAGCAAACATACTGTTCCCCCCCCAAAAAAACCAATGACCACACAGAGTAGTTTGGTAGCCTATATGTAAGACTTATTTTATAACGTTTGCTAATGTTCTTTTTTTAGACTTTCATTTCCTAAGGGATTATTATATCGCCGGACTGTAAACATATTCTAATAAAACTCCAAATAAACTGCTGAACCAATTTCCTCAGTGGTCATGCATGTCTTTCTTTTTATTGTTTTTTTTTTTTTTTTTTTAACACCAGACGAGCCACATAACGGACAGCAGATGGCAGCAAAATTATAGGCTGGGGAATATTTATGAGAGATGGGATTAGACGTGATAAAGGTGTATGTGTGTGTGTGTGTGTGTGTGTGTGTGTGTGTGTGTGTGTGTGTGTGTGTGTGTGTGTGTGTAAGAGAGAGACATATTTAAGATTATTTTAAGGTTCCCATAAAATAGGATATATATCCAGAAACCACTGAAATGTGCGCCTGAGAATAAAAAATAAATGAAAGTCTCGGTTACAGATGATATGCAAAAGGGGGCACAAATCTAATCATTTCCCACGGATCAATTATTAAATCTGCTTTTTGCGAGAACAGGGATTTTACATTTTGCATGCCAGCTCAACGCTCAGTCTAATATTAGTTTCATATACTGTACAGCAGAGCAGCATCACCTGCGTGCTATTATACAGAGAGAGAGAGAGAGAGAGAGAGAGAGAGAGAGAGGGGTGAATTTATAGCCAGTGTCTCAGTTCTGATATGAGCACTTAAGTACTGGCACTAAAAATAACATCGCTCTGAGGCCTGCCTTTCTCTCATGTTGTCCTAAGCCGCATCCTTCTGTTCAAATCAGCTCAGTCGCAAAAAAAAAAAAAAAAAATATCACCGCATTAATAACAGCTCTGCATTCGGATGGACTTAAATAAGTGGGTCTTAACTATTCAAAAGACCTAAAATCAAGCCACTAAATTTCAATGATATGGAAATGTTGAACAGAGAAGAATGTGGCACTTTCAGTCTTTAATAGATATCGCGTTTCAGTGTATTGTGTTGTTTTCTACATGTGCACTTGATTCAAAGGCGCTCAACAGGGTTCCTGAAGTGTGTAAAGTTACAAGCCAAGAGGCAAAATGAGAGTCTGGTTGTGCCTTCAAAATAAAGTGTCATCCGTACGTTTGGTCATGAGGTCTCCAGAGAGAGCAGATTTCCCCCAATAATTTGGATGACATCTGATATAATATTAAAAGATACACCTTCGAGTTATCTGCAGCCTTTGTTGAAAACTATTAATTGTATCCCTAATTTGGCTTCCATAATAATGAATGCCTGCTGTGTGGAGAGTAATTTGTGAGAAAATACTGTGAGCTGTGTGATTTGAGAAAAGCCAAAAGTGACACTTATCTACTGTATTGTTCACACTGCTGATGATTTAAAAGTTTAAAATTTCTATGAAATGGTTTAACAAAACCAGATTATAGTCCGGTGCACAGATGACCAAAAACTAGAATGGCAAAAGAAATCAAGATGGATTATTTAGCTAGTATTTATACTAATTTCCACTTTTTTGGTGCATCTAATTATTGAATACACGAATGGAGGTCTGAAATCTCTGTTAAAATTACTCAAATTACTATGTTTTACTTTGTAAAGGATCGTGTTGTTTGAAAACATAGGGCGTGCAGCTCTGGATCTGAGTTATGTTAATATGTGGGATCGTGTAAAACAGTGCAGGCTGTACGCATTGACACAGGAATAAAAACTTTATTTAATTTCCTATTTTTCATTTCATTTCTCACTCATGCATTCTTTGAATTCCACCTGCAGCCAACCAGCCCATGCAACACGCATGCAATACTCTCTTATTTTGGAACTCTCTTCCGGAAGTCTGACATCATTGTGGCTGACTCGACTCTGATGCGCTCTGAGGAAAAGCCGCACGCATCGCTGCAGTTCAGACGCTCCGGGAGCGAAACCTCTCTCTCGTGTTTCTGCGCCAACCGCAAAGAAGATTCCCCGCTGCACCTGCATGGATTACCGACCCGATACAGCCGAAACTCGTCTCAGATAAGTAGGAAATAACTCAACCTGTACGTTTAAAACCGATTTCAGATCAGCGCCGAAAGCGGCGAAACACCAAAGTGCAGTTTTAAAAGATTTGACACAGCCTATTGAGACTTTCGGGGTTGTCAAAAAAAAATATATATATATATTCCGGATAGTTTTTTTTTATTTTTTAAAGAGCTGACATGTTTTTATCTCCAAGACCAGTGTTTATGAATGCGTGACGTGGGAATAAACTCTGCATTACTCTCGGATGAAAAGCCCAGAGGCACACAGTTTGGGAACTAATCTGAATTTAAGGCACTAGGATGTAGTTTTGTCGGACCAGGGGGGGGGTTGAGGATTTGGACCTCAGGAATGAACTTAGTAAGCCACCTCTGCTTACTTTCTGTGCTGTAGAGACTCATCAAGCCATGGGTTGAAAGCGACGATGATAGACTGCGGGGATATTCAACGTGGGAGGGAGGAGAATTTTCTGTGTTATGTAATGATTGACAGTGCCTGATAATTAGTGGTAGATCACAAAAAAAAAGCATCCCCCCCCATTACCCCTATCCCCCCCCCCCTCCCCCCACTGTATGTCGAGGAGGCTAAAAGAGTGGTTGATGCATTAGAGATGCTGTATAATGAACTAATACCGGAGTTCTTCAAGTTAATGAGCAGGATATGTCACAGGTCAGTGCATACATATCCTACTTATTCCTCTGTGTATTTATGTGCTCAAAGACACATCAAAGCAAGTTGAAGTTCATTATAGATCTTTGATCAGCCTCAATTTAGACACTACTTACCTCTGTCATTCCCTCCCCCCAGTAAATATTTAAATATTTAAATATTTTGCTCAGTGTTCATCATGTTGCCCCAAACTCTTGACCCACTCCCTGCTGATTTGGCGTGGTCTTTCAAAATGACTTCGATTTCAGGATATCAGACAACCAACAGGGTTTTGAGCTTCTTTTTGAGCTTTGAACTATTTTCTCAGCATTGCAACATTTTTAAAGGCTACTAAGATGCTATAATGCTCATTTTTGCCCTCAGATTTGGGGACATGTAGTCAGTCTGAACTTCTCAACCTCTTATCCTCTGTGACTTCTTGTTTCTGAACATCTGAAGACATTAGTTAATCTCCACTAGAGCCTTCGTTGGTCCCTCCCTCCCCCCCACTCATCAGGGCTGGTGGGGGGGGTGGATCTCGGCCCCTACGGGGTCGAAACTGTGGTGGTGGCTGGTGGTGGTCATACCCCTAGAGGCCCACCATGGAGACCAGCCCAGAAAGCCCCAACCGGGCAGTGGAGTACCTCCTGGAGCTCAACAACATCATCGAGAGCCAGGCCAAGCTCCTGGAGACCCAGCGCAGGCGCATCGAGGAGCTGGAGGGCCAGCTGGACCGGGTCAGCCAAGAGAACCAGGACCTGAGGCAGGATCGCACCCCAAGGACGCCGGGTTCAGACACCCCCGATCAGAACCACAACCACAGCCAGCCTCTGTCTCTCCCCATCCATCATGGCAGTGGTGGTGGCGGTGGTGGCAGTGGCGGCGGCAGCGGGAACGGTAGCACCTCGACGGCTCAGGCAACAGCTGGAACAGCCACAACTCCAGGGCCCAGCAGGGAGAGAAGGACCCACACCAGGCTGACCCGAGGTCTGTCCTGCGGCTCCTCCACCACCGAGCGAGACCGGCTTGAACGCACTGACAGCACAGACACCAACACCAGTTCCACCATTCGTAGAAAGTAAGTTATTTTCTAACAGAGAAGCCTCCTCTATTAGCTTGCTCTTCCTCCAATGAGTGGTGAGCTTCATATCATATTACAAGAATGTCAGTGATCCTGACCAAGTTGCTCTAAATTGTAGTGATGACCACAGTCTGCATAAAGTGTCAGAACATTTATAAGCTAAGCGCACATAATGACAGGCTGTATGGAGCTGCAGCCTTTCTAGTCATCAGAGATAATCCTCACAGTAATGGGACTGAACCTAAGAAGCGATTCTTTTTTAAATACACTACCATGAGGAAATATGCAAAGAGCTGAAGGATTATGGGTAGAGTGATAAGTGCTCAAGGTGTCCATTTCCTCATGCTGTGTGTTATTATGCCTTGCAGAGGGTTTGATTTGTGTAATGATCACAGTCTATTATGTGAGGTGCGTAGGAGTTTCATAGTAGTATGCTGAGGATACCTCAAGTCCTTGCTGCAGGGTTATGGGTCTTTTTCATGGTGATCTGAACTTTCTGGACCAGTGAAGCCCTTCTGTATGAAAAAAAATCCAACGACTGTTTGCTAAAAGTGTGTTTTTTCTTTTCCTCTTCACTCTGAACTGTAGGCTAGTTGCTTTCCCCAGCCCCCCACCCCCCACCCCCCAAAACTCAAGGCTGACCTGAAGTTAGAGAGCGCTGCAAACACAGCTTTGGCAAACAACAAGTGCATCTGTCCTCGCTTTTACTTAACCACGCACACAAACACACAGATAGAGCCGGCTTTTGTTCCGGAAGCATTAAGCATTCTGAGTAGGCAGCAATTCATGTGAAAAAGTACACAGTGAAATATACTGTTGCAGCAGTCTTAGTGACAGAAAGCATTGCTCTTTGTGCATATGATTTCTCTACACACAATCATCTCCGCAATTATTACTGGATTTAGCTCGCTATCTATTTTCATATGGTCCCAATCCTCTTATCAATGATTGATTCAGACTTGACCAAATCCCTTATCGATTGGAGTTGTCTTTTCCTCCGCTGCCTCTCTGCCCCCCTCTCCTCATCCCCAGGGGTGACTTAGTCATTAGACAGAGGCACATATTAGTTATTTATGTAGGTGTTAAATCCAGTGATGAATTGCAAATGTAGATCTTGCTGATCTTCCCTTGTTAATTGTCTGTAGCGGTTGTAGGACTTTGGATTCAGGCTCAGACAAGCGTATCATATGAAGTGTCACATTTAATAAAGAGTCACCCGCACAGAAGAGCCATATTGTCCCTGTCTGGCTGTGACTCAGCCTAACCCAAAACTGGCCTATTAGCTTAGGTCAGCAGCAGAATCTTCTCCTCTAATAATGGATCAGATATAAACATGAATTTCCTCATCATCGGTGCCCGTGCTGCTCTAAATATGACTCAAATCAGAGGAAGAGACAGAAGG